GTCCTAAATTCATATATATTCGACATTCGTCTAAATTTCCAAGTTTCATTCATTTTTTACAGTCCCTTTGTATTTTATACAAGCATTGCAGAATTAAAAAAAATGGAACATTTAAATGATGAGAAAATTTCTTTGTTCCTGTAATATTTTAAATATTTGTTGACTGACATGGACGTTTTTCAATTTAGATCTGAAACAGGGAAATACCGTTAATAAATGAACATTTCTAAAGATATGAAATGTACATTTTTATACTTGTGAATCAAAATTAATATAATGAACACTGTTTATTTGTTATTTACCTCTATACATTTGCATTGGCGTTAGTTCAATGTCTCTCGTAAAAATGCATACGCATATCGGACATACTTTTGTATTAATAAATACGATTTTAAAATTAGCTGAACTTTTAATTATGTAGAAACCTATTATTTGAAAGGTGATACATTTTTTTATATATATATATATATATATATATATATATATATATATATATATTTAAAATATATATATATATATATATATATATATATATATTTCTGTGTATTGTGTTGTGCATTTGATATAAATATATTTATAGGTAAAATTCCTCAATATCAGTGACAGAATAAATATAATAGTCAGTTTCATGCCTGAACACAATTTTCATGGCTTGAAGATTGCTTTCAAGCATGAAACAGACTGTCGCCACTCGATGTTGACCGAGCGTCCACTATTATATATATATATATATATATATATGTGTGTGTGTGTGTGTGACTGAATGCATGTGCTTGTGTATGAGTATATCAACGTATGTAAGTATAAACACGTAATTATGCGGTGATACATCAATCGCAGAGTATACTGGGCTCCACATAATACCCGGAAAATTGAAATACTTACATACAAAGGTATATAAGCGCATGTATACCAGATACACATGTAACATATACACATCTATGATGTGTGTGTGTGTGTCTGTGTGCGTGTATGATTGTTTAAAAGGTTCAGTATAACTTTCGAAGGGTTCTGAACTGTTTACACTAGAGAGTCATATTAAAGCGGCGCGTATAAATCTTTATTTATTTCTTTTTTTCGCATTCCTATTCCACATTCACTTTATTGACATGAACCGTTATTCTAAAAATTCATATCTATTTCTGATAAATGAGAAAATGAAATAGAAATCTAAAATAAATACGCTCACCCTCTACCATCCAGTCGCGCAGAAATATATATTTGTATATACACAAATACATAGACACTTCACTTACGCCTATGGGTGAATTTGATATGACAAATGGTCGGTAGGAAATATATTTATATATATATATATATATATATATATATATATATATATATATATATATAGATAGATAGATAGATAGATAGATAGATAGATAGATAGATAGATGTGTGTGTGCGTGCGCTCGCGCGTTTATGTGTGTGTGCATGTGTGCCTGTATGTGTATGTGTGTATGCAGATATTTTTCATTTTCCAACATACCTACACAAAAATGTATATGTATATATATATATATATATATATATATGTGTGTGTGTGTGTGTGTGTAAGGGGTGTAGAGTTAACTGAATACATACACAAATATGTCTAGAAGAGAATATAATATGTAGCAGACAAATGGACGGTAATTACATATATATATATATATATATATATATATATAAAATAAGAGAGAAAAGATAGTGAGAAAGCGAGATATGGATATATATATATATATATATATATATATATATATATATATCCATATCTCGCTTTCGACGTTAATTACACACACACACACACACACACACACACACACACACACACATATATATATATATATATATATATATATATATATATATATATATATATATATATATATATATATATATATATATATATATATATATATATATATATATATATATGAGACAGCTTAATTTCGGTCTGTAATATTCACAGCCCATTGTTCTGGATCTGTGATTAATTGTCAAACAATGAGCCATTTTGTCACGAGAAGAAAATATGATGAAAACTAATTATTGGTTGCATTAACAAAATATGTATTTATCATTATTAAGGTCCGGACATATTGATGAATATATGTCTGTCTGTTTGTCTATTTATCCATCTTGTTGGACACACACATACACACGCACACACACGCATATATGTGTGTGTGTGTTGTTTTTGTTTAAACTTTATTTTTGATGAATAATCATATTCGAGTAGAAGCTCTGTTTTTAATTAATCAGTATTTTTGCCAACTACCTCCATCTACTTGAATATTCGCGAAATCTTTTTAGAAAATATGCGTCCTCCGGTATATTTTTTGACAAGATTTATCGAATATTAAAGCCTATAGTTTGAGTTGGAGTATATATATATATATATATATATATATATATATATATATATATATATATATATATATATATATATATATATTGGTTCTTGATAATGACTGCGATGGTCGAAAGTACTTGAACAAACAATAACAAAATAGATGAAGCCTTTTTTTGAAAGATATATATTAATAATAATAATAATAATAATAATAATGATAATAATAATAATAATAATAATAATAATAATAATAATAAGAAGAAGAAGAAGAAGAAGAAGAAGAATAGAAATGAAGCTAATTTATTTGCTGGAGAATTACTTCAAATGGTGTGTGAAATGTCAAAAGGGTGTTTGGAATAAATGGGTTGACTGCATTGTTTTTATAGTTTTGGTTTTTTTTTTTTTTTTCTCATTTTCAGTAATAAAAATGTTTTGTTCTAGAATCTTCACAGTGTAGATTATGGAATGGGAAAAAATTTCTTGAATTTTCCATAAAATATTTGTTAGTGTAAAAAGGATGATCTAAATGAATTTTTTCCAAAAAATTATAACAACTCAATAATTAATTAATCGTCCCGGCCCGTTTATTTGAAAGGTAAACTTGTTAGATGAACACGCTGAACAATCTTTCCAGATGCCCAGAACTTTTAGATTGCATCTCTTCGCGCTAACCCGTACTACACGTTAATTTTGTCATTGTAGATATTGATAATTTTCGGCATAGATACGAGATTTCTATTAACGTTCGTCACAGCGGCCCAACATGTTTCTCTATAGACTATTTGCTATCATATGACACCCTCAGAATCGGTATTCTAAACTCAATGAGTCTTTTTTTTTCCCTATCATAAGAATGTTTTTCTCTTTCTATGTACTATGTCCCTTCAGGACTTGTGTGATTATGGCTCCTCACTACTTCCTGTCTTTCCTAATTCCTGCTGTGCTAACCATGTACACAAGGTTGTTATGTGGGTTATTCCCCACTTTCCTCTCTTCCCATTGTCCTCAATATGTCCTGTGAGTATCAAATTCTCCAAGCCGTTTTATTCATTATTATCATTATTTGTCTATTTCTCATTCTAAGTTTATACATTTTTGTCTTTTTAAGCCATCATTATTTCCATGATGCTAAAACATAAAATCGTGACTCCGTAAATTTTAGATCGATAAAATAAAATAAATGTGCTTCTGTATAGATTTTGATATTTTTAAAATATTTTTTTATTTTCAATAGGTGTAAATAAAAGTAATATAGTTCTTCTGTTACCTGTTTCTAATACCTCAATCGCCCTGGATATGTCGGTAAACTACATCTGCGTCCTGATTAAGACGATAAACAATGTCCAACAGCAAGGCCTCTGATCAGGTGGTTTTGAGGAGCGTGGAACCACCGCTTAATTTCTGGTGTTCCCAGGTCCACCCTGATCCGGGGTGGTAGCACCTGTTAGGGTCTCAGCTATGGGCAAATAGTTAATCCCCAAATTGGGGTCAAAACACTATGAATGCTTTTAAACATAGGTTTTAATACCAGAAATACTTTGTAAAAAGAATTATTTCCGGCAATACATCTTTGAAAGAAAATATTATCAACAATTTTTGAACGAAAAAAGTATTACCAGCAATTTTTTAAACGAAATTATTGCCAGCAAAAAAATTGTCGGCATTAAATAACCCATTGTGGTTGATATGCCGTAAACCAAACCAAACTAAACCAAACCATCTGATACCTCAAAGTATTCTTTCCATGACACTCAACAATGATGACTAGAATTCCTAATCTAATTTTACAAGCACAGAAATAGATTTTCAAATACCCCCCCCCCGCCACCAATTATTTTGAAAAATTAAAAATATGTAAATAAATAGATAAAATGAAGCAAAAGGTGACTCCGGTAAACAATTATCAAACAAAAAGCTGTAAGCAAAAATGACATATGTGATCGATCTGGGCAGTTCAAATTCTTTTTTTTTCTTATGTGCTGTGTCCATTCAGTACGTAAGCGATGATAGTAAATTTTGTCTGTTCGCTATCTTTACTAATCCTTGTTCTACCAACCAAGAAGCTCATCGGATAGGATACGTGTTGCTTTCATCTGACCTTCTTACCTTCAATCCGTCATTTCAGTGTCAAATTTTCAAAGCCCCCCCTCCTCCGTATTATGCCTCCCAGAAATTTCATCTGTCTCTCACTGATGATAAGTATAAATGTTATTTTCATTTATATTTTCTCTAAAACTTCGTCATTGCTCACATGTTCAATCTATAGTATTCTCAGCATCCTTCTGTAGAACGAGTCTTTTCTTCATCTGTGATGAGATTGACCAGCATCCAGTGCTATATAGGAGAAGTGATATTACATAACTGGTAAATACTCTTTTTTTGTTTATAACAAGATTTTCATGTTTCTTAATACTTTGCTTAACTTTTGGAAGGCATCTTTCGTTATCCCAATGCACCTTCGGATTTCGGTGTCGCATTTTCCGTTTTTAGATAAAACACTTCTTAGATATTTACATTTTTGTACTTGAGTGATTATAAATACGATTTAGTCATAGTTCATTGTGCAATCTTTTATTTCTTATTTTAATATTAATATGAATTTGATTAAATAAAAATAAGGTTTCGAAAATAACCCAGAGTTTGATGGAATGAATAAAATACTTACCGACAGCATCAGACGTTTCAAGGCCTTCAAACGTCTTATTAGCCATTTCCATTAATGCGTCCAGCGGTGACACTGTCTTCACAATGGACGGGATTGGAGTGTCATCATCGACATTAATTTCCTCGTCAGCGTCTATGTCTGATGAGGTGTTGTTGTCACTCTCCGGGCCCGTGTCCCATGGCCGGACAATACGGGCCCCGTTGATCGTCGTTGTCGTTGTTGTGGAACTTGTCGTGTTTGAATTTGGGGTCGTTGTGGTAGTCCCGAGTACCAAGTTTCCCCTATGGTGCTGGAGATGATGGGCATGATGATGATGTGTGTGGCTTTTCAGTGACGTATTGTTGTTGTTATTGTTGTTGTTGTTTTGTAATTGTGATGCTGGGGGTGTGGGTGGTGTGGGTGGTGCAGGTGCTGGAGGGGGTGATGGCGTGCTGATTGTGCTTTTGTGATGATGCGGATGTAGATGGTTATGATGATTGTGTAACCGTGATTGAAGATGATGGTGGTGGTGTGTGTTTTGTTGGTGGTAATGCTCCTTTTCACTTGAATAGTTGTTGTTATTGTTTGTATGTACTGGACTCACTCTTTTATTGTTGTTATTATTGTTGTTATTGTTATTGTTATTATTATTATTATTATTATTATGACTTATGAGCCGTAGCGATGTCTCTGTACTAATTATACCAACCGGACTATTCTTACCACTACTAATATTATTGCTGTTACTGTGTATCTTATAGTGATTGTGTTGTTGATTATGGTGATGGTGATGGTGGTGATGGTGGTGGTGGTGGTGGTGTGGGCTATTTGTTGAATGACTTTTTGTGATGACAGGTGCGGGCGGGCTGATTGTAGCCGTACGTCCACTACTTGTCTCGTCGTCATCGTCAGTTACGCTGACCACTACGACACTGCCGGTAGTGGGTTCGAACCCACCGGATCCAGTATGTCCAGATCCACGATCTCCATTGCTGTCACGGCTGCTGCTAGTATGTCGATGTCCAAGGATATCCTTGATGCTGAAGGCCGTAAAGGGTTTGTTCGGGTTTCGAGGTGGTTGGAGTTGCACCATAGCTAATTTGCGAATCGGTTCGTACTGATCAGTACAACTCTCCTCTGAATCGGATGCTATACTGGCACCCGTGCTGGTCATATCCTCTACTGATAGAGGAAGCAGGAGGAGCAGTAATCAGACTTGGGAAGGGAAAGAACGAAGAAAGGATGAATTGATGGACGGACGAAGAGACAAGAAAGAGAAAGGGGGAATTGTAATAGTCGTAAACTAAAAAATTCTGGCTCGCATAAAAAGGAGAGGGCTTGTAATAAAGAAGGGAGCAGGAGAAACAAACAAACAAACATAAAAAGCTTGTAGAGTCAGGGGGGTGGAGAAAGAGATGAAGTAAGAGGTGGTCGAATAAAGAAGGGGAAAAGAAAGAAAAAGTAGAAAAATAAGGTGAGTAAGGAGTGAAGGTGTGGCAAGAGGAAGACGGGGAAGGAGGAGCCGAAAGTCAGCTTTAGCAGAAAGCACCTCCTCCCACTCTCGCAGATAGACTATGAGCCTACTCTCACCACTACCCCTAATAGGGTGATTATAACAGCCTCTAGATCTACCGCCACCTCCTTATTTTGTGTAGTGACCCGTCAGGTACGCCCGAGTCGATGCAGACAAGTGAAATGAATGTTGATAGAGAGAAGAGAGAAAAGGAAGAAGCAAAAAAAAAAAAAAAAATTAGGAGAGAGCTAACGGTATAACTCCTTTGAACTGCCACCACCGGACCTGGTGATTGTAGTTGGATGGCTAGTCTGTTGCTTAGGGAGAAAACGGAAAAGCAAAGAAGGTCGGACCGCCTTGCACTTCTCCGACTCTCTTGACTGACGTGTGAGCCTGATGTCCGTTGAATCGGTTGGTCAGTCGAGGCACGGACACAGCCAACCGGCGGCCAAGACATAGGAAAGCGCACCAGCGACAACCCCTCAGATAATTAAGCAAAATTACAAACATAGAACCGAAATGACTATATTAATAATGTCATTATTATAATTAGAATCTCTTTTGTACAAAGTGTGTAGGAAGTTGAAAGAAATATTTATATGCAGGGTACTCGCCGAATAAGTATTGTTAATCTATGGACAATGTTGGTATTATGGTTTGTTTAAAGCAGGAACCAATAAAACGCAACATTGAGTCAATATCAGTAAAAAATTATTCAATACTAGAAAGAACCGTTGAAAAAACAAATATTATAATTATATTTGATGAAAATAAACAAATAAAATTTTAACTAATAAAATATATTTAAACCGAAATGTCTAAAAAAGTTTTATTGCGTTCGGACTTCGTCATCATTCTTCTTGTCTACGTCTCCTCATTATAAATATCCACGTATTTTTTTTTTATGTCAAAACTAATAAAAAAACAGTCAACTGCATGAAAGATCTATAACGTCTGCCTATGTCAAACTAGCTTTATGCTCTAAAAATCATGTTTCTTTACACATTTGTCTATAAATCCCCTTTTTTTTTTCTTTTTTGACGTATGTTGGTAATTAAATAGGCTTATCTTATATTTATGGAAAAAAGACTAGTTATTTTGTCTAAACTTATTGTGAGGTTTGATACTGTCGGATTTAATTGTAACTGAAATATTTAGAGAATAAATAAATATCTGTGGTGCATGCTAAGTGGAAGAAGTTCAATCCTTTTTAACTTTGACATCCATGTAAGCAAAATCCTCAAGAGTATCGCATTACTTACCATTGAGCAAGTTGCACGCAAATATGCGTAATAACATATTTATGATGGATGTCTAACGAAGTCTTCATCTTTCTCTATCACACTCTCTATCTCTTCCTCTGTCATTCTATACACTTTTTATATCTCACTCTCTTTCCATCTCGTTTGTTTTCTCCCTTTCACTCCTTGGTTTCTTTCTTTCTCTCTCTCTCTCTCTCTCTCTCTCTGTCACTCTCTGTCTCTCTCTCTCTCTCTCTGACACACACACACACTTTTTACTCAAAAAAACTAATTTTTCAAAATTATTTTAACTGTAAATTGAGATTTTTTTCTAAAGTGTTTTGGTTTTTTTTTCTACTTCGTTGTGGAGATAATTTATTTTCTTTTTCAAAATATTAGTCCAAAAGTTTCCCATACGATTAAATCGATACATTCATTAAAAAAAAAAAACATTTAGATTTCTAAAATAAATTTATTAAACGTTCTAATTTTTACACTCTGTAGACAACTTTTCGAATTTTTTCATAAAGTGTTGTGCATTTTTGGGCTCTACGTTTTGTTATTTTTTTTTTTTGTTTTTTACTTCAACATGGATTGAGTTAATTTATTTTCTTTTTTAAAATATTGGGTTGAAATCTTCTCTTAAGATTAAATCGATGCAACCACTTTTAGATTTTATTCTTCTAACTTTGATCTATATTAAAGACCCTATTTTTTCACTCAATGGTTAACTGGATCTAAATATTCTTTTACACGTTGTGAATGTGTTTATTTAAAAAGGTTAACTTTTGTGGATTTATTTGTCAATTCAAGATTCTGTGTCGATATTAGACTTTTATATATTTCTTGTTTTTTTTATGTCAGAAGGCAAAGTACTATTTACAGTGGAGGAGACAATAGACAGACATGTTTTCTAACATGTTCCGTTGCTGAAAAGTAATTTTTTCTGAGTAGTTTATTGATATGTCAATAGCTCAGGGGATGTCTTGTGTTCTTGCTTGAATGCGAATATTTTTCATACTTTATTAACTTTTATTTAACGTAGTACGTTAAATATATTTATAGGTTATAAGTAAATATTTATTATAGCACAACTCGATTTTTCTTTGATGGGATATGTTTAGTTTGTTGAAGAAGAGTATAAATTATTTTATTTGTTTTTATTTTCAATTCAATTTGAGAGGATTTAGTGGAAATTGTTTGGAAGTTAGTAACCGTAGGAATAAGTTTTGTTTTTTCATCAAATTTGTATACTTGTTCGTTTCAGTTTTATGCACTTTTCTCTGTTCCTCATATAGTGGTTTGCTCTAGTTTTTAAGCTATTAAATATCTTGTTTTTCTACGTTATATTTTAAGAATTTCTTTCTTATGCTCTTAATAGCATATTGTCTTTCTATGCTGACGACTTTGTTTTAGTTTTGCTTGCAAACAAATTGAGTTTTATCGCTCGTATTTTACGTTTATGTATTAGTAGTTTTATTATTATTTTTATTATTATTATTGCTATTATTATTATTATTATTATTATTGCTTTTGTTGTTACTATAATGCGTGTTTATTCAGATTATCCAAGAACAACACGGATTTTTCTTTTCTAATCAATGACATGTAAATTGTATTTTCTACATTAATTATTAAATTTCACTTTATGCTGTTTTTTTTTTCTAGAACATATATAATACGATAATACTATTAGAGTTTCTTTTAATAATTTTCCTTTTCATGTATTATTTTTTACATAAATTATAATTTTGCTTGATAGTTTCTTTATAATGTTATAAGCTCAGTTAATTTCTTTGTAAAGACACTGTCAAAAGCCGTATCGATAATGTTAACACGTTTAATATTATTTACTATTATAAAAATTCATCTGTTTGTATGTTTATTTTCATACCAATTGTGTTTCTGTAATGTGTTGATTTAACATATTTCTAAGAAAATAGCATTCTGTTTCTTTGTACGTTCTTTGATTTGATATGTTTTAGATTTTTAAAGTTGATCAATTGTTTTGTACAAAAAAGATGATTTATTCATCCATTTAAATAAACTTACCTTAATTTATGATAGAATTAATGACCAAGTCTTAATGGGAAGTATAATTTTGTGTTGATCAAATCCTTCAGATTTTGGAAATTAATAATTTTAACTGCTTCTTTTCTTTCTATATAAAAACAATGTTTTCTTCTAAAACTGTCGATTTTTGATTAATTAAAATCCAATTTCAGTTACTAGAAAAATGTATTTTGTAATATTTATTGATAGTGAAATAAAAATACGTAATTTTATTTTATTAAATATATCATTTTTATTCTAGTAGTTAACAAAATAATGAATGCAGTTTTGTTTCTGCCTTTCGTTATTTTATGATAATAACTGTCTATGCCGTTTTGTGAAATACTATTTTCTATATGTTATATTAATAAAAGAATATACATTAAAAGTTTATATGTAAATTATGCCCATTGAAATGTCTAATTTATTGGGCATCGTATTTTATAATTAATTTTGTTTATCTGTTTATTTTATTTATGCGTTGAATCATTCAGTTTTTTCTTTTTTTTTTTAATTATTAAAATGTAATAATTACACAGAAGTTCAGAATGGCAGAATTTTTAGGAATTTTGTTTTCATTTTAACAATGTTTTCGCCAGAAAATTTTATTTCTCCTAATTTCACCGTTTTGAAAAGTATTTAACTTGCTTATTTGTGTTGTTGGCATAGATCTGCGGGTCGCATCTTTCAAACTTAACTTGTTTATATGGCCTAACGCTTGACATTAGAATCCTAGTCCTTACTTAAATACTTTAGAATTTGAAAAAAAAAACATGCAGTCTTTTCTGTATATAAGTATTTGAAATTTAAGTGTTTACACGTGTTATTTTGATTGTGTGGATCTCTTTGCATAGAAGTTAACAACGACAACACATCTAGTAGACATATGGATGCATTTTATCATTTTTTTAATTTATTTTTGGAAGATATTGTCAACGATCAGTAAATATAAAGAAATGAGAGAGCAAGCCTTTTTTTAATTTTTAATTCATCAGTATTTTTTTTCGCTAAAACCTTCCTTTTATTAAAATTACTAGAAATATTTATATATATATACATATATTTGTCTTAATATATATATATATATAAGTATATATATATATATATATATATATATCAATTTATACGAGAGGGCATGCAATTGTACAGTTATGCGACTGCACATACAGAGATTCAACCAATCTCATGTGATCTTTTTCGTTTTTATTACTACAGATCGAGATAAATTAATCTTTATCTATCTATCTATCTATCTATCTATCTATCTATCTATCTATCTATCATTTATCTCTCTGTCTGTCTATCTATCAATCTATCTATCTATTTATCTGTCTGTCTGTCTGTTATTTATCTATCTATTTATCTGTCTGTCTATCTATCTATCTATCTGTCTGTCTTTCTGTCTATTATCTATCTATCTATCTATCTATCCACATATCTATCTGTCTTTCTGTCTATTATCTATCTATCTATCTTTCTGTCTATTATCTATCTATCTATCTATCTATCTATCTATCTGTCTGTCTGTCTGTCTGTCTATCTGTCTGTCTGTCTGTCTATCTATCTAAGTGGTTCGAAAAGTGTTAACGCTGTAGTATATTTAATAATGAATTAATCTAAACACGCATGCTTCTATTTTCGATCCATTTGAGTGATTTTTATGTATCTATGTCGGTAGAAATATTTAAAGGTACGGTAAGTTTCCTTTTGTCCTGGTTTCTGTCTTCGTTCATAAACTTGATAGGTACTCCACAAGAACTTCTTTTCGATGTAAGTGAAAGATTTTCACGTCAGTCATCAGTATATCAAAAGTTTAAAGAACCAAAGCAGAATTTTATTCTTTCCTCGTTGATCGGTCGTAAAGGTTATTGATACATATATCCTTTAGGATTGATTTCTTGTTTGAAAAAATAGTAAAAATATATATTCCTAAAGATTCCGGTTTTTGATTTTATCTTGAGGTAGGTAATTTAATTCCAGCCTTTCAATTTTTTTGATAACTTTGTTTTATTTATTTTTCCATATTTCGTTCCGTTTTTTTTTTCGTTTCGTTCCTTTTGCGTGTGTGCCTGTCAATGTGTATAACATTTTTTACATCATACTTTTTTTATTTTTTTTTTGGTTCTTTTTTTAAAAAATATTTTCTAAAACAAATGAACTTTTT